TGCACCAGAGTGACATCAAAAGGAATCAACTTTATCCTCCAATTTTCCTCTTAGTCTTGAAATGCAACCAATCTAACCAAACCCATGATTTACCAAAAGTTAGGTGGGCATGACATCACTTTTGGATGCCGAACACTTAAGTTTTGTCATTGTAGAACAAGCCTGTAGGACTATGTCTACCAGCCAGGGAAACGATGTCCTGTAGGGAAACACAGCCTTCTTTGTAATAGGTAGGCCCAGGCATTTTCATTCCCTCTGTGGGATGTCCTTCCGAGTTGGCTGGGAAATTACCCTCTCTTTTCCAATGAACACTACCAAAAGGGCAGCATTCTCACTTGTCCAGAACTAACATTTCACATGAAATGCTGGTTCAATGACTTCTTAGTTTCAAATTTGAATACAGAAATATTATTTACCTAATGGTCTAAATATCAACCTTGGTTTTTATCCTCAAGGGGGAAAGGAAAAGATGGCAAAAATCTGCTTGAGAGAAAGTTTCCAAAATGAGGCTTGTAATTATGAAGCACTGACATTTCTGGGAGGAAAAGAAAAAAGATGGTTAGTTTTTAAAAAATATATAGACTTTATTTTTGAGAGCAGCTTTAAGCTCGTAGCAAAATTGAGTGGGGCTCCACATTCGCCTCCATTGTCAACATGCCCCACCAGAGTGGTACTTCAGGTATAATTAGTGAACCAACATGACATACTGTAATTTACCAAAGCCCATTGTTTACATTAGGGCTCACTCTTGGTGTTGTGTGTTCTGGGGGTTTGGACAAATGTATCCACCATTATAGTAGTTTTACTGCCCTAAAAATTCTCTACACCCTACCTATTCATCCCTCTTTCCCCCAACCCCTGGAAAACACTGATCTTTTCACTGTCTCCATGGTTCTGCCCTTTCCAGAATGTCATACAGTTGGCATCATAGAGTATATAGCCTCTTCAGATTGGCTTCTTTCACTTCGTAATATACATTTAAGGTTCTTCCATGTCTTTTTGTGGTTTGATAGCACATTTCATTTTAGAGCTGAATAACATCCCGTTGTCTGGGTGTAGCACAGTTTGCTTATCCATCCACCTACTAAAGGACATCTTGGTTGCTTCCAAGTATTGGCAATTAAGAATAAAGCTGCTATAAGGTTTATTATATTTATACATATATATATAAGGTTTATATATTATATTATATTACATAAGGTTTATTATATTATAAAGGTTTTCATGTGGACATAAATTTTCAACTCAATTGGATAAATAAAGATGATTGTTTTTTGAAACAACTTGACAGACACCCACAACATAAACAAAGCTTTGCCACAATTTGAGGGATTGTGTCCCCTGTAGAGGATTGTTCTAGGTGCTACAGGGAAAGATACAGAGAAGAATAAGGAGTTTCTTCCCTGATTTCATGGTATGTAGAAGAAGGTCAACATGAAAACTCACCAGAAACATGACAGCATGTAAAATGTGCTAAAAGACAAACTCTAAAATGGATAAGTGGCAGTTAAAAAGCCAGAAGTAATCAAGCACACCCACAACAATAGAGAATAAGAAAAAGTGGAATCTACTCTGAAAGTTAATGCCAATTTCCCTAATATTTGGATTTATACTGTGGAGCAAGTGCAGTTGTCTTTGCATCCTCCTGCCCCTTTTAGTGTCTCTTCCTTCCCCCTCAGCCTCCTCAGTCCAGTGGGGACACACTGTCAGTCCCCAAGCAGCGCCAACAACCAGTGGAAATGGCCTGATGTACCAATTCATACGGAGGAGTTAATGAACCTGTGTCTGAATGAATGTATTGCCTTTTGCACTGGGTTGAATGATGGCCCCCAAAAGATATGTCTATGTCCTACTCCCTGGAACCTATGCATGTTACCTGACCTTGCAGATATAATTAAGTTAAGGATCTTGAGATGAAGAGATCATCCTGGATTATCTGGATGAGTCCTAAATCCAACGACAAGTGTCCTTATAAGAGACACACAGAGGAGAAGACAGACAGAAGAGGAAGAGGCGATGTGACCACAGAGGCAGAGACTGGAGTGATGCAGCCAGGAGTCAAGGAAAGCCAATAGCCACCAGAAGCTGGAAGAAGAAAAGAACAGGTTGTTTTCAAGAGCCTCCAGAGGGAGCATGGCCCTGTTGACACCTTGATTTGAGGCTTCTGGTCCCCCAGAACTGTGAGAGAATAAATTTTCTGTTGTTTTAAGCCACTCAGTTTGAGGTAATTTGTTACAGCAACCACAGGAAGCTAACATGTCCTCCTAAGGACGTTTTAACTTTAACAAACGCAGTATATTGAGTGATAATAATTGCATTGGACATTGTCAGTCTGGATCCAGCATCTGAATCCCTTCCCTGCCTTTAGGAATGCATCAGATACATCATGTATGATTTAGTTTCACTCTTGTATAATTATTCAGTCTGTAAAGTCCTAGCCTTTCACATTTGGTTGAAGACCTGGGTGAGCTCTGGAAGTTATACTCACTCTATCCTCTTCTATCTGCACTGTCTCCTCCCATTAACTGAAAGCTCCTTGAAGACAGGAACCCATTCCCCATAATGTTTAGGAGCACACAAATACTAGCTGTGCATTTAGTACTCTCTGACCATAAAACAGAAAGCCTAAATGGCTTCCATGAATAAAGAAGACCAACAATACTCTTAGAGAGTTAAATTCGTAATGAATCTCCCTGTTTCCAGCCTCTCCCATCTATACTCCATCTGTAGCCAGACTGACTTTTCTAATATGTAAATGTAATGATTCTCAAGTATTTTCATTGGCTCTCTATTGTGCAAAGTCCAGAGGTAAAAACCACTTGGAAGGGACAAAACATGGAAGGGACTTCACAACCTGGCTTCAAACTTCCTTTCAAACTAATCTATCATCTTTCCATTCTCAACCCCTATCTCTTACCAGACTCCTCCCTCACCACAGCCACCCTCAATTTTGCATGTCTCAAGGGCACCATGTTCTTTCAGGCTTCAACTTGAATCAGACTGGGATACTCAATAACCCCCAACATGCTGGTCTCTTCACCTTCAACACACCATTTCTGCTCCCTCTACCCTATAACTGTTTGAGGCAGAGATGGCACTTTGTGTATACCAAACTATTTCGATTTCCTCCTGGACACACTGGAAGATTACATTTTCCAGTCCCACTGTATCTAGGTGGGGTCATACGTCTAGTTCTGACCAATGGTATCTGGGTGGATATCATGTCACTTTCTGACCCAGCTGCTAAAATGCCTATGGGATTCTCCAGGCTCTGTCTCTCCCCTCATCATTTGATGGCTGGATGTGGAAGACTTCAAGGTCCCAGAGGACTGTGGAGTCATAAGATGAAAGGATCCTGGGTTCCAGAATCATCATATGAAAGACCACACACTCAATACTCAATTAGAAGTGAGAAAGAAGTGTTATTGTGTTAAGCACTGAGATGGGCTTGTTTGTTATGGCATTATCCTACCCTGACTAATACATTCATCCTTGAACAGCTTCTGAGTATTAATTTCTGTGAGTTGCCCTCAATCCTCCTGGAAGGAGTGAATCACTCCTTTCTTGGTACTTTCATAGCACTTAGTGGTTGTTCTTTTTCTTAACAAAAACTTCAAAATTATGTTTAATGATAGAATTAATAGAATGATATCACAGATTGCTTGGAAAACTGTTTTTAAAAATCACTCATAGGCTTATCACTTTAACAATGACTTTTATAATTTTTGCATAATTCCTTTTTCTCTTTAATATGCACATGTTTTTCACAGCATATTTTTTTAATGTGCTCTTTATTTCTGTGTCATTCCAAAAATTATTTTAAGGCAGGGATATGAATAATTTTGCATCTTACTTTTTCTCTTCATATAACGGCATAAGTGCTTTTCCTCGTTGATTCTTCATAACCATCATCTTTAATGAGTGTACAACTTTGCATTAAATAGATTGGCTGTAATTTATTAATTATTCCTCTGTGTTGAGGCATTTGACCATGGTCATTTTTATTATAGATAATAATATGGTGGATATCTCCACAAATACAGCTTTTCATATTTTTTACCTAGGATAGATTCTCAGAAATGGGTTTACTGGTGTGAATATTTTCATTGGCCTTATAGTTATTTCCAAAGTGCTTTCTAGAAAGAGCTGTACTAACTTACAGTGCCAAGAGCAAAGTTTAAGAATGCTTATATTACTGCATCCTCTCCTTAATCATTTATACTATCTTTAACTTAATTTTTAAAAGATTGAACTTTATATTTTAATTTACTTTGGCTTGATTACTAATTAAGTTACAGCTTTCTCCATGTGATTATTTACTCACATTTTCAATTTGGTTAATTATCTGTTTGAGTCTTTATATAGTTGTCTATTTTTAACTATTTGTCTGTTTGTTGCCTATATTTACAATGTACTTAATAAAGATATCAACCGTTGTGATATCATCCACAGCCATTCAAATTTATTCATTCAACAAATACTTATTGAGCGCCACTTTGTGTCAGGTACAGTGTAGGTACCATGGACACATCAGTGAACAAGTCTGAAAAAAATATTCCTGTCCTTGTGTTTCATGTCTCTCATTAGACAGTAATTATAGGTTTACTTGTATTACCTCTGTCCAAGTGTACTGTGAGTAACTAGAGGTCAAGAATGAGATTGTAGCTTATTAATTTGATTTCTCCATAACCTGTCATCACATGCTTGGCATGTAGAAGATGCTCAATGCTCAGTTGTGCAGAGAGAGACAGGCCTATAGTGCAAAATGTTCAAAATTATGTTTCCAGGTCCCTAACCTCTGGGGGCATTTTAGCTTAATGCTTTGCATCCACTATAATAAAAACTGGTTTCTCTACTGCCACCAACCCAAGAAGGGTACGAACTCCATGGTTATTAACCATGGCTGCCCATCAGACTCATACAGAACGTTAAGAAAACAAACCCATCTTGTTCCCAGAACCCATTCCCAGACCAACTAAATCATAGTCTCCAGTATTTTTAAAGCTCCCCATCAATTTTAGTGTGCATCCAGGATTGAAAACCACAAGAGAGGCTGAAATGTTTGAAGGAGCATCAGGTGAGAGGAACTGGAAGGCATTTCTTCTAGCTGGTAGGCAACAGAGCTGATTGAGTTCTTTGCTTCTCTTTGACTTCCTTCCTGTATGTAAACAGCACCCATTCATCCAGGCCCATTCCTTATGGAGAGTGACAGTGATGTAGAAAAAGTCCAGAGCCAATATTTGATGGAAGGGGTTATTCACTTTAGACCATCAGTGTAACCCTGAGAGCTACACTCAGATGGAAGCTCTGTGAGGGCAAGGACTTTGTTCTGTTTACTTTGTGTCCCCAGAGCCTAGTGCCATGTCTGGGGATGCTTGTTAAAGCACCTAGCCCATCCTGACTAATCCAACCCTTAAATCCCCTGTGAAGACTTTCCCTCTTCCCCCAGGAATAAATGAAACCCATCAAGAAAGTACTATTATCATCCACCATTCCAGAGACAGAAGGAAATGTTGTGACCCAAACGGCCCTCACTACCTAGGACTTCTCTTCCTAGAGCTATTTTCGGCAGTCTGATATTAGCAGGTGGCATTGCATTGACAGGCGAGTTCCTACAGGCTGGCAGCAGAAGCAAGCACAGCAGCCCTGCCACTCCTAAGAGGCTGATGTCACACCAGCTACTATCAGAGAGGAAATGAGGGCTTTCTGTACAGCCCACTTAATGCAAAATGGTTTAGAATGGGGCCTATTTTAAAAGGACCATCTGGTATAAATTCACATACTAAAAAGGGATACATACCAAATCATCTCCCATCCTCCTCAGAACATCAAAGTTATCTTCGCAGTCTTTTCTTCCACCCCTAGATAATGCAAAGACCAAAGAAAAGTTCTTTTGTTTTCTTCCCTCAGGAATGTTCAGACCAGGCCTCATTATGTAAGTCTGGAAAAAAAGCAGTTTTTACTTGATACCTTGAAATACTATTTTTATAAGTCAATCACTCTTTTTTCTTATAAATTGGGACCACTTGCTTAATTAATACTCACTGGAAATTAAACCTGATAACATAACCGTCATATGCAAATGAAAAATTGGGGGATTCTCTGGTATTTGTGCCGAGGATGAGTTTCCTACAGCCTGTTTCTCCACCATGTAGTAAACAGGAAATACCTCTTAAAGTTTTTGAAAAACTCGACCATGGAAGAAAACAGTACAGGGGTACACTGGGCAATCAAGAGGTTTTGTTGTTTGACCTTCATAAAGAGATGTTTGCCACTGTTGGTGTCTTTCCCCTTGGGGATTTATCTCTTGAAATCGAGAAGAGACTCAGCTCTTGAGAAGAGCCAGAGAGATGTCAGATGGCATCTTGTTCTATTTCATAAAGACCAGAATTCTTTACAGTTCTCACAACAGCTTTGATTGCTCAAACAACTTGGGTTACCATCTGGGTTTCTCCAGGGAAAATAGTGCCCTGGCGAGCCACCATCCTTTCGACTTTTGTTTCAAGCGTTTTCTATAATCCCCATAATGTGGAAGGTCGAACAAGGAGAGCATGCTTTATTTCCTGGTCAGACAGAATGAGATGTATTCCCCAAATGTTCATGTTCTGCTTCATAAGGTTTAGAGGTAAAAGAAGCTTTAGAGGCAGAAGAAGTTCCTCTTCCTCCAGCCTGAAAGTGTCTTGCAGAACTTCGGGCCGTTAGGAAATATAAGAATTCCTCCATTACAACCCAGAATCAGTTGATGTCTTCCAATACATCTCAAGTAAATGTCAAGCTTTTCCAACTGAACTGAGAGACATTTAAAAGGGGTATTTAGGTGGAACATGGTAGGAAGCCGTAAATAGCTTTAGGGAAGAGGCAGGGTTATCTTGGATTTGTAGGTCTTGCAAATATTTATGCAAGGTGCTAAAAAGTAGCATCTCTCCTTCTTAAAATTATTGGCCAAAGTGGGCTTATGCCTTTCCTGTGTAAGTAAATATTGCTGCAGCATTCTAAACAGATTTATTAGGCCTGTCACCAGCAGCCAAATATTTATATAAGCTCCATGGGTTGAAAAGGTAGTTTAAGGAGACTGTTTTAACCACAGCTTTGTAAATGTTTAAGGTAACATCCTGTCTCTTTGAAACCGTCCTACCTAGCCATATCATCACATTTATAATAAAAAGACAACATGTTCAAAGTGATGCATTATTTCCTGCCATCCAAAGTTAGGCTTCTGTCCTTTTATCATAGCCAAAGTGAAAAAAAGAAATGATTCTAGAGCGATCCTTCTATGCAATACCTGGGAAGAAGCCACTGAAAATACTAGTGGGAGTTGGGAGACAGAAAATGTGACTGTTGTGGCAGATGTAAATAAGATGGAATAATTTTAAATAAGGAAATTAGGCCTTGCTTAGAACACACAGGTATATTTAATAGCTGTATTCATTTTTCAATCAATCTATTCTGCTTCACAATTGCCTCAAGAACTACTAATGAAGTTTGGTCCCCAAGTCTGGTCTGGTTACCAGAATAAATGTGTGTGTGTGTGTGTGACTAGCTGAGTGAATTCTGAGCTTTGTTAAGCTCTGCTCGGTCTCATTTGCTTGTGGTCTTATTGGTCTCAATAGCAGACTATGTTGCGTCAGTCAGGACTCTTTCAGTTGCAAGTGAAAGAAATCAAACTCAAAGTAGCTTAAACAACACAGGACATGCATTGGCTTACATAGTGGGAAGGTCCAGGAGATAGAGCTCCAGGCGCAGTTGGATTCAGGTGCTCAGAGTTGTTGCCAAAATTCCTCTGCTTTCCTTGGTATTGACTTCACTCTCAGGCAGGCTGTAGCTACTGTGGTGGCCAAGATGAGCACCAGCAACTCCAGACTTTTTTCCTACCAGCTTAGCAAACTACAGACAGAGACCTGGTCCAGACTGGGATACAGGGCTCTTCACAATAATCATTGTGACTTCGTATGCCTCCCCTTGGAACCAGGGGTAGCCTATGGGTGTTGGGATCAGCTGTGATGTAAGCCCATTGATTGAAAGAAGGGGAGGTATAATTACTGGAAAAAAAGCTGAGTAAAGTAGCAAAAGAAGGAGTTTGCTGAATGAGCAAAAGTGATCGATACCTTTTATAGTTATGCACAATCACAAGAAGCTCATTTTCAGATTCTAAAGATGACATTAAGATATACTCACTGAGCAAGTATCTAGAGACGGGAAGCTACTGGCAAAACTGGTAGTGAGTGACATGGCCAAGACCTCACTTCATGCAGAAATTTAGAGGATGAGGGAGATGAGAAAAATAATTCATTTGTGTAGAAATTTACTAAATACTCATCACTAAGAATTTCAACAGATCCGCCCAAATTTGCTAGCATTTTAGTATCATTAACCTAATGGCATAGCTAAGGACTAAGACAGTTTATCTCAAACATAGGCCCTGTTTCACCTGAGGGGCTTATACAATGTAGATTCCTGGAGCCCAGACCTCCTTGTCATGCTGTCTTGGAATAGGACATCTGAGTTTTCATATATTCTCTAGGAAATTTTTAATGAACTGGCTTACATGATAAAATCTGAGAATTTTAGACAATGGGGTGTATGTTTCCATTTAATTCCATTTGATGTTTGCTCAGCACGTGGTTGGCTGACATCTTGTTGATGCTACATGCACAAGAAACAATGGCCCCATCTTATGACTGGATTACAGAAAGAGTGTGTTAGACAACAGAGTTAGTATGGTAAATTGAATTATCAAGCCCAGTTCTTCATCTCCAGAGTCACATCCTTGCCTTAACCTCAAATTGGCAGAGGCTACTTCCCTGCCTCTTGACTTTGAGTTTGGCCATGTATCTTGCTTTGGCCAATGGAGTGTGGACAGATGTAACAGTATACAGTTCTCAGGCTAGGCCTTAGGCCTTCAGTATTTCCACTTGTCCTCTTGCAGTTTTGCTAAAGCTCTGGGAGGAGATTCCCCTGAGTAGTGCTGCCTTTTATTCTGGGCCCAAAGTGAACACGTTTGGAATGGAGCTCCTCAGGTAAGTCCAGCTGGACCTACAGCTTGAAGCAGAGCCTCCCAGACAAGCCAAACCTAGATCAGACAAGCTCACTGATAGATTCATGAGAAAAAGCGATTGTTGTTTTAAGTCCCTGAGTTTGGGGGTGGTTTGTTGCACAGCATTGTGGTAGTAACAGCAGCTAACCAATACAGTTAGGGGCAGTAAGTATCTTTGGGGGATTGGTTTGGTTTGTTTGGGGTTGACTGCCTGCCTGTGTTGAGGAAGGCAATTTGGAGAGTAAGCAGTTGCAATTTCACCAGGAGGGGTCTCTCTGGGTGATAGGCAGCCCTAGCTTTGTGGGTACCCAGAGGACATAAAGATGAAGCCTGCATTCATTGCCAGTTCTGTCATTGTCAACAACAAATATTGAGGGCACTTATCTTATGCCAAGTGCTGGGTGGGGATTGCAAGAGGTTAAGGTAGGGCCAGCACTCTAGAAAAGCTGTAATCTCACTGACCATACCTGGGCCTCGTTAGAAATTCCGTCTGAATGTATAGACTCAGACTGGCCTGGGCTTTCAGGACATGCTTGTTGAGAAATGACATCCTTAAAGGGAAAAAATTCTCCCTCATTCTACCCACTATCCTAATCTTTACACCTAACAAGACTTCATCAAAGAAGTTTCCAAGAAGCCAGGAGTTGAGTGGATTGACTTGTAGCTGGTGAATTTCAGCCATCCTTCCTCCCTGGCAGTTCCCAGGGTTTCAGGAGACAAAGCTGATAGCTCACTTGACATAGGAGCTATAACCAAAATCCCTTTCCTCCCTGATGCCTCTAGTCTTACTCTCTGGTTGAGACCGCCACCCATGACCAGCTACAGAATTTGCGGAGCTCAGCGCAAAATGAAAATGCGGGGCCCATTCTGACATTACTCAGAATTTCAAGACAGTGACCACAGAACGTTAAACCAGGTGTGAACCCTTCTGAGCATAGGACCTGTTGTGACTACACAGGTCTCACACCCAGGAAGCCAGTCCTACTGCCTGAGACTGCCCATCCATCAGAATGGTTAACTCGACTGAGGGCCAACCCCACAAAGAAATCAGCTGTGTCCTCACCTCTAGCCCGCTCCAGGGGCTGAATAACAAGAGTGGGTACAGCAGAGACTGGGAACCATTTTGCAATCCCAGCACCCCTCCAGCTGGGCCTTTCCCCGAAATCATTCCAAAAATATTTGCGAGCCCCCCCAAAGTGCTTCAAATGCAATTCACACTTGCCTGTGGGTTTGAGCGATCGCAGCTGTATTGCAAAGGTTGCATAACAAGGGCACAGTGTCTATTCTACTGCTGCACATGGGGTCCTGCCCAGGACTCAGGACAGCATAGAAACGTGAGTGCCAGACTGCCGAGGTAAGACAATTGTCCTGGTGCCATAGCAGCCCCAGGGGCTCCTGACACACTGAGACTGCTCAGCACGTGCAGACATTTGGCAAACAGACCTTCCTTTGAAGTCTAGGCAAAACTGGGCAAACTTTCCTGCCTGGGAACATGTGGCTGTCAGTGGCAGGAAGGGTAGAGTGCAGGTCCCATCTTTCCTCCCCCACAGTTTAAGAGCTAGCACTTCTTTTTCCACAGTGTCACAGAGCTCTAAGGCCTCATCTACTCCTTTATGATTTTTGCAAAACTCAGCACAACGCCTAAGACTGAGGTGAAATTGCCCACTCTGTGTGCTCCTCATTTCCCTTGAAAGAAATGAGAAAGAGGATGATTTGGCTAAGGGTGGACATCATCCAAATCAGTGATTCTCAAAGTGTGGTTCTCAGACTAGTGGCATCAGTAACCTGGCAACCTGTTAGAAATGCAAATCCCAGGCCCCACCCCCAAGCACCTAAATCAGGAAAGCCTAGGGCAGGGACCAGCTGTCTTTCAACAAGCCCTCCAGGTGATTCTGATGCACTAGGAGTCTAAAAAACGGACCTCATTGCCTGAAAACATCACACCAATGATTTTCCACAGTGGGCATTTTAAGGACTGTCACAACCGTAATCACCAAGGTGAATCTATTTGCCAGGTACTGTACTAAGTGCTTTTACAGCATGATTATCTTTATAAGTCACCTGGGTTTTGGAATTTCGCTATAGCAGCCTGAGCTAAGACAATTGGGAATCCCTAAAATGATGCTGCCAGGCCTTTATGGGACACAAGTGGGAGGTAGTGTGTTCACAGTCAGCATCAGTATCGGTTTAGCATGTACCATACACAGCAGCTATCCTGGGCTCTTGGCATCTTCCACCAACAAAGCGAGACAGTGTGACACAATGGAAAATAGGGCGTAACTGAAGTATGCAACCAATTCCTACTTTATAATTACAGCTGACACTTATTGAGAACTTGCTATGTGCCAGGCCTTGTTATGAACACTTTATAGATTATTATCCTAGCTGAACAGTAGAGGAAATGGGAATGCATATAGGTTAATGCATATGTTGTTTGTTTCAGGTTATGCAGCTAGTGACTGATGGTACCAGAACTCAGACTCGGGCAGTCTGGCTCCAGAGCCTGGGCCCTCAGCCACAATTCTACCTCCTCGCAAATGCAGCCTGAAATAGAGATTGGCCTCAGAGAAAAAGGTGCCCTGAGCCCTCCTTGCCTCAGCCACCAACAGAAACCAGCTCTGAAAGGAGCCACAGAGGTTCACTTGGTTTGGCCCTCAGCCACAACCCAGAGAAGGTGTTATTATCAATGGATGAAATAATCAAGGGTCTTAGGTTAAAAAAAACTTGCTCAAGTTTATTCAACCAATAAGTGGTGGCTGAATCCACGAGCATTTATTACATGTGTGTTTAGTTTGGTGAGAGTCTGGTGGAGTGTAAATAAGGAGAAGTCCTGGTGCCTTAATGGAGTCTCCTCCTTGAGCTGTTTGCACCAGCTAGGGCTGGAGCCAGAGTTCTGTGTGAGCCTGGCTCTTCCCGCAGAACTCCCAGGGTCTGGCACGCGGCTTGTTTGCTGGTGGTTGTGCTAACATGCTGGTCTGGTCCAGCAGGTAGCTGGGAGGCCTCTCCTTACAAACATCCAAGCCCTGCCCATGGCTCCGTGCCACTGGGCACAAGACTGCTGCTAACATCTTATCTGTCACCAGAAAGAAGGGCTTTAGGGAAATGGCCCTTGTGGACCTGCCTGGGTTATGGCGACTCCTGCAGTGAGGAGCAAGGTCAGAGATTAACCAGAGGGCCAGCTCTCAGCGGGACTTTGTAGGGACAGCATCTGAGACAAGTTCTTCTCTTGATTGGCATGAAGTGAAGAGGCTGATGAGGACTCTCTTGTGGGGTGCTTAAAGCAACCCACTGGGGAAATTGACCCATGTTCCCTGGGATTTGGAGAGACCAATATTCCTGCCTAAAATGTCTAAAAGCAAGTGTGGAGTGGAGGAGCAGCTTGCCTGAGAAAGGTTCGTGCTTGCTGAGTTTGGGATGGGGAGGGCAAGGATGTATGCGTGCTTCCCAAGCCGAATGTGGACCCCCCAAGGAAGGGACCTGGTGGTGGGTCATCTCCAAAAGAATCTTGCACAAGGGGGCCTCCTGGAGGGGCGGGGTGACCCAAACAGAGAATCAATCAGAAGCCAGAGACTGGGCAGAGGGCAATTGCAGCCAGTCAAAGGAGACAACACGTCAAAGGAACCTCAGATGTGAAATCCTGAGGGCCCTAAGGATCCCAGAGAAAGAGTAACCTTTGAGCACACAAGACACAGAGGGCCCTAATGTCAAACTGCAATGACAACTTTGCACTTGTCCCCTAATTCACCCAACCTCCGCATGCCACTCCATCCTGACCCTTGAGAGTAAAACAGCACCTAGAAGAAGAAGAGGAGGTAGAGTGAGGAAGGGAGAAGAGAAGGACTGCATCCTCTT